CCTTGTGAGATTTAATTACCACCGGACTGTGGGGATAATCATGTGTGCTTGCCCTGTCATCTCTCCGTCAGACCCCGCCCCCAGGGACTGCTGTGATTGACAGCTGTCTGGCTCGTCTGCTGTAGCCCGCAGGTCCTCAGGGGTCACTCAAGGGAGAAGAGCTTCTCCCTCCTCCAGTCCTCCAGGAGTATAACGACAGTCGCAGTGGTGTGCCTCTTTTCTCCTCCATCCATCCATCCATCCTTCCATCCATCCTGTGTTGTACCTCTGTTATCCCCCCTCCCCCCCGCTCCATCCATCAGGGGTGTGTGGAGGGTGTGTGTGCCCGCCGCCCCGGGGGACACTGAGGTTACAACAGGTTGACCATCTCTGTGCTGTGACAGTGATGTATGATGATGACTGGCCTGCTCACAGACGGCCCCGGGCTCCGACTCAACGAGCCTCCTTGTCAAGCTGAAATGTTCCCCTGGATTACACAGATGAGAGAGAGGATAAACACTTGATACTTGGTGTCTGTGTGGGAAAACTTGCCCTAGAAATATACATTTTTGTATAATTTATCCATTATTATACATACAAGGACTGAAGCCAAGAGTTTGGATTTATTTCCCCGTCTAGCCTACGTCTATTTAACTCACAACTAGGTCTGCTGATTCCCACTGTAGTGTATTTTCTCACCCCACCCCACCCCCCTGACCTCCTGACCCCTCACCCACCACCTCCCCTTCCCTAAAACCAAACCTGCAAACAACCCCCCTAATCACCCCACCCCCACCCCCTCATCTTGAAAGAAATCAATCAAATTTTATCAGGTACAAGGGGACACTCCCCTCACTTCTCCCCTTTCACATATCTCTCCTTGCCTCACTTCTTTTCTGTCATATTTGCCTCCTCCTTGATTGACACCGTAGTTTAAGTTAAGCCAGCGAGGATGGGAACCCACCGGGAGAACGGGGCAGGGGAGGAGGAGGAGGAGGATGGCCACGCGGAGGAGGAGTTGATGCACTGGCGAGAGGTGGAGCTGAAGCACAGGAAGCAGCTGGTCATCAAACTGAACCCCACGCATATATCCGGGAACGACTGGGCCATGCTGGCGGACCACTTGGGCTACGAGACGCAGATGGTGGAGGTGAGTACTGGCTGGGATGACATGG